ATAGCAAGCAATAAAGTTATTAAGCACCTAAAATGAGTTGAGCACAACAGTAGCTACAAGGAACATATAGAAAGATCCATCATGGTTCTGACTTTAAAGGCTCATGATTCAAATGGATTTATAAAGATTAAATACTGAAGTTTTTATAAATGGTGTCTGTTGACATTTTGGAAAGGATTTTCTGTGTATTCTGTGAAGTAGCCTTTCTTCAGAAGTAGTGGTTATGGGATTTTAAAAAGTCCAGCTGTAACCCTTAGGATAGGCTAAAGTGAAGACAAGCGTCTCTTTCCTTGGAATACTAGTATCCAAGCATCTGGGTGGGCGGCTTTCACCCTGGTGGGTGTAGATAAGCATGTGTGTTCAATCAGGAGAAAGCTGCTGGTTTCACTTGAGTTAGCGAGTTCACGAGGTGAGGTGATTATTCCCAGCACTCGCTCAAGCAAATTGATGAATCCAGGATGAGCAGAATCAATGCACTGGCATTTTCCAAACACAGATTCAGATTAAAACAGAATAAATTAGTTCCTCTTAGTCAGTAATTGCCTCGAGTAGGCGAGCTGAGGAAGAAGGGGTTTTAAGGTGCACACTGAATGTGAACTACCTTCTGTCTTCAGCTAAAGATGCAAAGCAGAAAACAGAATATAAGCAGACAGTGAATATAAAATTGTAGCTCGATGGGGAAAGGAGTTCTGTTAGTAACTCAAGTTTTACTCTGAATTGTACCCAGAATAGCACTGATTCTTATTTGCATAGACTATTCGGAATGTAGACTTTTAATTTATCATCAGATAAAATACAAATACCTGAAGTCTGAGTGACTCAGACTGGAGGTTCCAATATAAGGTTGTAGTCACTGTGTAATGACTGTGTTATTTGAAGCTAAAACTGTAATTAATTTCTTACTGCTGTACTCAGCCAATATTAACAATAAGCTGTGCTGTTATCCAGCATAATGTGGCAGAGATTCTTGCAGCAAAAGAATTCATAACCATGTCTGACAGTTTGTCCAGCTGAGAGAATGGGATGTCTAGCAAGAGAATATCACTTCTGAGGATGGTCAGTGCTCACAAGACATGTGCAGCCAAAGACAGAGTTAACAGTCTAGCTCTTTCCAGTACAGCTGTTCATAAAATAATTTAAAGAATGAGGCATGCTACAAAGTAACATTGATGCGCATTATGGACAAACTGAATAAATAAAAGAAATGCCAACCTAAAGATAACAATCTTTTGTTGGTGGGCAAATAATAAACTACTCATGATTTTCTTAAGATGTTTCATTGACATATGGTGCTTCTAACCCAGTGACAAATTAATTGACTTGGTTTAAAAAGAAATGGATGTGGCTTAATGAAGGACAGGATATGAATTACAAGGCAGCTGGTTCTGCCACTGCTGGCTTATGGAGACAATATACATTGGACAGCTAATGAGTCTCTGTTGCATAAGATAGATTCTCTTTATAATAGAATTGCATACTTTGTCTCTAAATGGGTTATTATACACACCATTGCGCAATGTTTGAAGAGCTTGGTTGGCCCTTGTAGAGGGTTAGGAGAGAAATAAATTGGAAAACAATCGTACTTAAGACCTTCAATCCATCAAAAGCTCCATATTTATCTAAATTACTAGCACGTTCTCTCAAAATACAAATCTGTATGATACACATGGTTAGAATGTTAATGCTAACCAGCCTTCATTGGTTTATAAGGTTTTCCATTGTAACCATAGACCAAAATTCATGCACATTGCAGCCTGGGGATGCTTGGCAACCACTACCACCCACTCCCTTTCCCTCTGCTCCACATACTTCCACTGTCTTTATCCCTGAAGTTTTGTTTGGTATTCTTTCCACCCACCACAAACACACATGCACCACTGGTCCTGGGTTATTTAACTCTTGGAGCTTTTTGACTTTGAGTACTCTGATGGTTTTAATGGTAATTCACTCAGTTTCCTCAGTTTTCCCCACATTCGTGGGTCTTTGCTGCTCAGTCACTCAGTTATCCTTTAGAATAAGTTCATTTCAATTCATTTTACAGTCTTGAAAAAAACAAGGAAGTGGTAGAAGAAGACTGAATAAATGGCAGCCTTGTTTACTCTGAATGTGAAGATTTCAGGCCTTGTAAGAGGACAGGCCTCATTCAGATGGTGTAGGTCAGGAGATGGGGGTCTGAGTCATCCTCTTGACGGTAACACCCTCTAAACTTGGCTTTGAACCTGATTTCGCCTTCTGGCTCCATTCTTCTGTTGATATTATCAAGTAGACTTTAGAAATCATGTGGCTCAATTTGATTCGGATTCTTTCAGGGCTGTAACATCTCTTCAAGTCCCCGAGGAGGTGTTGCAGGGGAGAGTGATTCTTGAGTGCATGTGACTAGGTTTTTGACTTGTCACACTTTGGATTTGGGACCCCCATTCATTCCTATTGATTCTTACCGTAAGGTGAGGTGACAATATTTGCTTCTTCCAGCCTTTCTTTTCCATGTCTCTTTCCTTCCCCCCTCCTACCAGGAGCAGTTGAAAAGAATCACACCTGTTAAGCATTTGAAGATTCTCAGAATAAGATGGTCTTTTCAGTTTAAGGCATTATTATATCCCAAATCCAATTGTTTCCTCCTCCTCATTGTGGGGTTCCTTCTCTTTCAAGTCTACCTATATTCCAGTAGAGAAAAAGATGAACTGAAAGAAATGGGCAAAACAGTTTCATGGGCTTCTCCATAAATTTATTACCCTCTCCAAATTGAATCTTGAAGCCTTGTCAGAAGTGTTATTTTTCCAACAGTGCAGGTGTTAACTGGCTATAGAAAATAAACACACCTCCTGACATCTTTCTCATTGCTTGCTACATCCATTTACTGGGAAGATTATGTTGTACGGTGTGACAGGAGGTGTTGTACAGCAAAGGAAAATCACTACTTTGTAATTCTGTTTGTTCACGTTTTCTTCTTGTGTGTGGGCTTTTGTCATTTCTGGAATTATTTCTTAAATGGTGAATATTATTTTGATATTTTGATATGTATTTCTCCAGAAAGTAATTCCATCCAACCAAATTTTAAGTTGCATACACTTTTGAAAATATGTGTTTCAATAAACACATGTTATTTGCAATGAAATTTGTATAATTTGGCCCAGGAAAAGGAAAAACAAAAACAAATAGTAACAATGACTAGTTAATGAATTTTCTTTTACCTATTTTTAAAAAATGACTTTTTGACGGCAATATTAAGATTACATAACTCTAGGTAAACATTTACTTCCATTTGATTAGATGTTTCACTTAAATAGAAGGCTTTTACCTATATTTTTTTCCTTTAACATAATTACCTTAAGGAAATAAATATGTAGAGAAATAAATGAGCAGACACACTAGTCTTTATCAATGTTCAAATTATTGTGGTTTAGAGAAACAGGAATCTAGAATTGAGATGCCCTAGAAATGAATCTTTGGTTGTATGTAATATCTGTATTCAAGGATCTGAAAACATGTTACAAGCAGTTAAACTTTAGGTTATAGATGGGAATTCCATGTTGTTTATTGGTTAAATTAAGTTACAGAATTATGATTTGCTTTGGGTTCCTAAGAAGTCCTCTCTTTCAGTTCTACAAATTCGCCTGGATTTTTACCTGTTCCCTCAAACCATTTCCAGATTTCTTTTCTTTCCATGTACTGTTTCTTAAAAGACTCTCTTCCTACTTCTGATCTGTTCTTCAACCTTTGTGAGTTTTACTCCCAAAATGTTACTGCAACCTTTCGAAGGTCAGCAGGGCCGTCCTAATAGCCAAAGGCCATTTTCAGCCCCTCTTCTGTTTCTTCTCGTTACCCCCCCACCCCTGATACCACCACTCAAATTATTCCTCCTTTTAAAGTATCTGCTTTTCTTGGTTTGGGCACATCGAGCTGCTCTCCCTCATTCCCGTTTTCCGAGTCTTTCTTCCTTACCTGGCCCACGCTGGGGCCATCCCTGCTGGTGGCTCCACTCCGGGCTCCAGCGTGATCCACTTCTAGCTCCAGCTTGCTCCTCAGTTCTCAGTGCTGGGACCCTTTTAACTCCTCCTGCAGGCCTTCCACAGGCCCCAGGCTCAGCATATCCGGAGCCCACTGAGTATCAGAAGAGTGTGCAGAATCCTTCCCTTCCCCTTCCCTCCACGCCGTCTCCCCCCCGAGCCTTCTGGCCTCCAACACCATCACCCCCCAACCCCACGGTGTACACCTGAGAGACTTGGGAGTCCTCTTGGCTCCCGCTCCGTCCTTCCTCCTGTCTGATCCTTCTCCACATCCCACTGATTCCAACTCAGGAATGTCTTCACACCAACCTACTTTCCATCGTAGGTACCTGAGGCCCAGCTTGTTTCTCTGCTTGCATGGTGCCCTGAGCAGCCTCCTCATTCTGTTCCCTGCATTCCTGTTGGTGGTATTTCTTTGAAGACAAACCCAGGCATCATTCATCATTGACTCCCAGCTGCCTAAAGGTTGGGGTCCCAAACCACATCCTGCATGCCACACACAGTCTGGTCCCAACCTGGGAGCCCAGCTTCTTCTGCCTGTTTCTCCCCATCCTGACCTGGACTCGCCTTTCCCCTGTCCTATCACTGACCTTGGCCTGAAAAGCTCTTCTTTTTTCTCTCTGCTTGGGGAAAACTCCTCCTCATTCTTCAAGGGACAATTCAAACGACATTTTTGTGAAACCTCCCCCAACTCCTCTAAGCAGATTGAGTCACTCCCTGCCTTTATAGGCAGACGCGGTGTCGGATCTGCCATCATTGCCCTAGTCTCTCAGCCTTATTTGTCCTATTATTTGTATCCAAATGCTGGGCACATCGTAGGCTCTTGCTCAGCATTGGTTTGAGGTGTGACTGACCAAATCGGCAGGTGGATGTAATTTTTGAGGAGCTGTAAAGGAACTTGGGATGGTCCCACGCCATCCCGACAGTGCTGCTAAAGGCACTTGCCTTGTCTTGATGGGGCTGTTTATCTCTGCCTGTTATGCTCACCCCCAGGAAAAGGAGAAGCTGTATGTGGAACTAAAGCACATTCTGGCCCGGCAGCCTGGGCCTGAGGCTGCGGAGCAGCTGCACATCTACCGCCACACTCTGCGCGAGAAGACCAAGCAGCTTAAGGTAAGTGGTAGCCTCTGCTCTTTCCTGGCCAAAGGACAGCCGCACTCTGGGGAACACACCTGGGCAAGCCAGGCTCCCAGATGCCATCTTCCACCGAGGTCAGCTCTTTTAGAACACTGGTCCTAGGAGGAGCAGGACAAGCCTCAGAGCTATCCCTCTGCTCCTACACTGACAGATGCCACAATTCTCCATTTCCCAAAAGGGGGAGGTGATTAAGTGAGGAAAGGATTGTTGAAGGAGATGATGGCAGTGGGGTGGAGAATGGAAATTGGGGAATGGTTTTATGGATGATCTCAAGGTGATTTAGGGGATTTGCTTGGTGAGGAAGAATAGAAGAAATATTTTACACGATTGCCCACTGCAGCAGACCACTGTGCCAGAGCAGGTTTTGCTATTCCATGCCACCTGAACTAAATGTGGAGAAAGCATAGGCTACTCCCCAGCCCCCAAGGCCTTGCTTCATGGTCATCTATCAACTAAGTAGACATGAAGGGGAAGCAAAATCATTTTAGAATTCTGTTAGCATAAATTCCTTTCTAAATGATGTAAGAACCTCAGCTGGGAGACGGAATGTTTTACTACTAAAATGCTTTTTAAAGTTCTCCCCACAAATCCCTGTGTTCCCACTGTATTAGCTTTACCTCCTAAGCAAGTCCTTAGATAGTCTTGGTGTGTTGGGGAAGTCTTATACACACACATGCCCAGAATGTAGCATATGCCAGCTGAATTCTAGCACTTAACAGCACAATGGGTGTAATAATCATTGACTGTCTGCCTGGGGTAGGATAGATGCCAAGCTATGCTAACATAGTATGAATCCATTCACAAATAGGTCATGGTAAAACCGCATGCTTTTACTTAAAAAAGGCAGATGAAGCAGAAGTCTAATTAGAACATTAATTTTCAATTTATCACTTTAAATGTTCATTTCACCTGAGTATCCTGAGAGATAATTTGAGTTTTGCATGAGGCATAATCTTCTGATTATTTTATCCTTTTAAACAATTGCATATTTCAAACAAAATCAAACCTTATATTCTCAGGGGTGGATACAGATTAGAAGAGCATATTCTGTCTTTGCGTTATTGTCAAATAGCTGCCCTCAGTGCTGGGTTGCATTAAATGGCTCACAGGAACCTTTTGTTACTTTAACCCTTTACCCCCACAAATCCAGATTTTTGCTCTGAATTAAATGTGACCCCTGGTGGGAGAGGTTCAGAGGTTGGTGGTACTGGGTACTGAGCTTGTTCACCAGGTTGTCTTTATTACCTGGACTTTTTCTTAGGAAATTGTATAGTCATTGTTTAGAATCAGGGTCTTTGTACCTAAGACTTTAACCATTAAGACAAGTTTTCTTCCAACGTGAAAATCGTATTCTTTAGCTCATGATAATGTAGTCAGGATCCTTTCACAGCAGTTAAAAGGAAAGAGTCCAGAAGCAGATGAGTACTCAAAAGACAAAGATCCTCTTTTTATACAAATTTTTAAAATAGTAAGTGAGAGGAAAAACTATCTGAGTCTATTGCATGCCCCTTAGAACAGTAACTTCCTTTCCCCCCCTTGTTTGTGGGGAGCCTTCCTAGCTTGGGCTTCACCTGGTTTGGTTCAGATGAGTCAGTTCCCACTCCTCTTGCCCAGCTTGAGACCAGTAGCATCTATTGAACACCACGATGGAAGAGGTGGATGATCAGAGTTCCTCTATAGCCCCATCAGATGATTAGACTCTCCCATGAACATACATAGCTCCCTGCTTCTCCAAGGTAAGTGTCCCAGTGCTGGTAAAGGTGGAAACTGTGAATAATCCCAAGGAACACAAAAAAGAGGTGGCAAACACTTAGCAGAACAATAACCTTGGAAAACACATAAATTGAATGCCTACTTAGTGGTGGCAGTGGCAGGATGATTCCAGAATAATTTTTACCATAATTTCAGATGAGTCACTCTCTCTAGTGATGACTTTCCTGAATGGTTTTTTAAGAAGGCTTTAAAAGCAGTTATATACTTCTGGAAATTTTTCTGTCTCTACCCACATCATTCTTGAAACACATTACACCACTCGTGTGAGGCTGCCTGCATGTGGTCTGACCTTCTTCTAAGCATGGGAATGAGGTTTCATTCAGTTTGTCACTGGATCATGAGTCTTTAGACCTCCATCCAAGTTTTACCCAGATACAGACCTGAACTGGTAAAAGCATGCAGATTAACTGTTAAACCTGGGCATGGTTTTGAATCTGTAGCCTCACAGAGGTAAATGGCAGCAGATTAAAAAGATTTTTCAGAAAAGGATATTGTCTCACTGCTTATCTTCTGTTAATGCTGCTTTATTTGACATGTTAGGTTTTGTCTTCAGAACTGAATATGTATGAATCACAGAGCCAAGAATATAAACACGAGATTGGGAAACTTACCAATGAATTGCTTAATTTAAAGAAGAAATACCTCGCTCAGAAGCGTAAAGAACACATTCAGAAGTAAGAATTAGTCAAAAGTTCTAATTTTTGTTGTGCCTATTACCTGCTAACAATAACTGGCGGATAGTCACAGAGTGGCAGGTCTCACTGGGGTAAACTAAGTCACAGGGTGACAAATGCCGCTCTACAGGACTTTCACTGAGTTTATATTAGAGTTACATGGGTGTCTCATCTGATACTGAGGGCCCTAACAGGGTCCATTAGTATCTGCTCACTCGTGGACCTCACATGGAACAGAGGAAACACAGTGAGATTTTTTTTGTCTCCAATCCTGCTTTCACGGTTTAGAGATAATTGTGCCATAACTATGTTTGCAAATGAGGCTCACAGTCAGCCTTGTATGGGCTGAAGCATATTCGGTTTAAGAGCACACGTAATTGGGTGGAGGGGTCTGGGCTTGGTAAAGCTGTTCTCCCAATACTGCAACTGTACCTCTGTCATCATGAGCAGCTCATGTATAATTTTCACCTAGTTTTAGACAGACTCTCTCTGAGTCATCTCTTTGTGTAGTGACTGACTTCAGTCTCTGAGGTGGGGTGTCACTGTGCGCTCTCCTTCTCGGAGTTGGTAATGCAGGCATCAGGTTAACATTTTGGGTTTCAGAATGTCTACATGACAAAGAGGAAATGTTCTCTTCACTTTATCATTGCCTAATCCTAGGGTTAGAGAGTGGGCCTAAATGATCGGTAGGTTTGAACCTTGGTCTGGCACTGAGGCGTCGCCCAAACCAGCTGGTTAATTCTGTAGTGGCTCGCCTTCTGAGTTGAAATTCACGTTTGTATTTCATCCACATGGGCATTTCAGGGATGTGGGGAAAGAGGGTTTGAATGTATATGCCTATGATTCATTAGTGGCAAACAGCTATTTACAGTAACTGGGTGTAAATTTATTTGTAGTTTTCTTTTAGGACATTAAGGTTGTACTTATAAAATGTCAACATGGCTAGTTTCCACATAAGGCAGCTTGTGTCTAGCTCAGTGGCCTTCAAAATTTTTGATTGTACACCCGTATTGGTAAAACATTTTCGAACTTGCAGCAGTAAAATTTTTATTTTAGAATAGTTTTTTTTACTTCCAACATATTTTAATGTACAAATTACAAGCAAGTACTATTACCACTTTGTGACTAATAATTAGTAAGGTGAGATGTTTAATTTTTAAAGATAAAATATAAATAGAATCTCTAATACCTTCTTTCCACTTCTCAGTGGGTGATCTTGCTCACCTTCTAGAGTTTATGCACTCTGTTTTGGAGACCAGTGGTCTAATTTACAGTTACAAACAGTTATTTTGGCTCAATAGTTAATTGTCTTTTTAGAGCTGATTAACTTGCCGGTCTTGGCCCTGGCATTTGGCCTAGTCACTTTTGACCTTACTGATTCCCTGCCCCCTGCTCCCCACAGTTTTCTGGATACAGAGAGCATGCTGAGCCAGCAGAGGGGTGTCCTTTCAGTAGCCCATCCATCCACAGAACTGTACTGCCCCCAGGTGGTTGCCACTATTTAAATGAAAATGACTTAAGTCAAATGAAAATTCAGCTCCTTGGTTGCACTAGTCACATTTCAACTGCTAACTAGCCACACGTAGCTAGTGCACACGGCCTTGGGCCCCTAGGTCTAGAGCTCTCATCATTGCAGAAAGTTGTGTTGGCTAGCGCTGCTCTCGAATCTTCGCTTTTACCGTTCCTCTTGTTGCCGTTAGATGCTCTTAACTTGTAGCCACTCTGACCTGGTTAGGGTGTCGCTGGGGTTTCCATTTGGTTGGGTATCCATAAAGGGTAGGCATACAGAGAGAGAAGTTCATAGGAGAAGAGCAAAAACAAAGTTGAAGGTACTGAAGGAAAACATGCCAAGGCAAGAACAAAAGTGCTGAGTGCTTCAGGCTGGAAGGAAGAAGGCTGCAGGGAGTCATTATAATGGTCTATAAATACATTAAAAAGATAATATAAAGGAGACATTATTCCCATTAGTCAGCTTAGACAAAGCCAGAAGCATTAAGCTCAAGTTCCTTCAGAGAGGGGAATTTAGGTTATTTAAGGCAAGAGGGTTGGGGAGTGCTGCCTGCATCTGACAACAGTCAGGAGGCAGACAAGTTGCCAGAGTACTCGAAGGAATCCGCTTTGCTGGATCCACTCAAGGCTAAAGTTTTTGTCCTATTTATGGAGGATGCTTTTTATAATTATGAAATCAATGCTGCAAAGAGACAGCTGGATTGATTAACCAATCATCCATCCACAGAACTGTACTGCCCCCAGGTGGTTGCCACTATTTAAATGAAAATGACTTAAGTCAAATGAAAATTCAGCTCCTTGGTTGCACTAGTCACATTTCAACTGCTAACTAGCCACACGTAGCTAGTGCACACGGCCTTGGGCCCCTAGGTCTAGAGCTCTCATCATTGCAGAAAGTTGTGTTGGCTAGCGCTGCTCTCGAATCTTCGCTTTTACCGTTCCTCTTGTTGCCGTTAGATGCTCTTAACTTGTAGCCACTCTGACCTGGTTAGGGTGTCGCTGGGGTTTCCATTTGGTTGGGTATCCATAAAGGGTAGGCATACAGAGAGAGAAGTTCATAGGAGAAGAGCAAAAACAAAGTTGAAGGTACTGAAGGAAAACATGCCAAGGCAAGAACAAAAGTGCTGAGTGCTTCAGGCTGGAAGGAAGAAGGCTGCAGGGAGTCATTATAATGGTCTATAAATACATTAAAAAGATAATATAAAGGAGACATTATTCCCATTAGTCAGCTTAGACAAAGCCAGAAGCATTAAGCTCAAGTTCCTTCAGAGAGGGGAATTTAGGTTATTTAAGGCAAGAGGGTTGGGGAGTGCTGCCTGCATCTGACAACAGTCAGGAGGCAGACAAGTTGCCAGAGTACTCGAAGGAATCCGCTTTGCTGGATCCACTCAAGGCTAAAGTTTTTGTCCTATTTATGGAGGATGCTTTTTATAATTATGAAATCAATGCTGCAAAGAGACAGCTGGATTGATTAACCAATCCTTCACAGGTTCTTTCCAAATGCAATAATTTAGAATAATCTCTGTGAATGTTCTCCCTACACATGCTCTTTATAAAATCGCAATTCATTTCCCAACCTGCCTACCCCTGACTCCCCTACCCTGGACCTCCAGGCTGATCTAGAGTCTGCAGTACTAGTCAGGTTCTTTTGCAAAAGATGGAATTCTCTCCCTTAAGGTAAATCATTGCCAGTTGTCAAATTTAATTGGTTTTGGTCTTAGTGGTTTGCTTAATTTTTATTTTTTAAAAGGGATTCCAAAGATGTTATCTGTAATTTCACAAAGGGTATGTTGTATAAATTTGATGTAGCTTTCCAAGAAACCTGGATGTGTATGTGTGTGAGTGTTTAAGGGAGACCTATATAGAAGATACTTTAAAAATTTTAGGGGAGAACTGCCTTCATCTATGGCCAAATGTACAATCTTACTTATCTTTCCCAGATTTTCTTTTATCTTAAACTATTTCTAATAATAACTGCTACTTATCTAAAGTGACAAGAAAATTTGTATTTAATAAATGCTCAAGTTTGATGAAGATACCTTGTATGTGTGTGGTAAATATTTATGTTTACCAAAACTTTGGAATATAAAAATTGTTAAATGATAAACTAGTCATCATAATTGAGCCAAGAGAAAGAATGTTTTGACTAATCTTTGAAATGAAACAAATGTTTTATAAAACGGGAAAATGATTACCAGTCAGAAGCCTCAAGTCCATAGTGCTTAAGTTAGAATGAGGTCTTCTGTCTGTATTTAGATCAACATTAGGAGGGCACATCTAATTATCTTTCTCTAATTCTATGTGTTATCAGGGGATATATAGATAATTAGATTTCAATACCCACCTTGTCTAGAACTGGAAGCTTTAATCAAAGCAGTTTTCAGTGGCTAACTCACCCTAGGAATTTAGAGAACACCACACTTAGAAGAGGAAAAAGATGTTAAGGATGTTAACTTTCACTTTCCCTCTTACAGAAACAAGGACAGAATATCCATGGATAACACCTTCTCAGTGGCCAAACCAACTGGCCCTCATTTTACTGGGGGTGGATTTCCCCTCAGCAAGTTATCCAAGGTGAAGTGCTAACTTGAATCTGCTGACTGGGTCCAGTTGGACAGCTCATGAAATTCACTCTGAAAAATCTTGGAGGAATGTCTTTCAGATACCTTGGATTGCAGATATTTAGGGAAATCAGTGCTTGGATTCCAGGATGGAAAGAAATGCAGAACTATTAGAATCATGTACATGTAAGAGTGAGGATGCTCTGTGTGGTCCACATGGATAGATATAAACAGACTATAATTATATCTGTTCAGTTAGGCAGATCTTTGTTACTACCACATTGATTGATTTGAAGTGAACCGTATCTAGACACTCCGTATGGATGAAATTTTGGATCTTAATTTCTCTATTACAGACATGCATAGCTTTTATATTTTTAAAATATTTTTGAAATGCAATACATTCTTATTAGTAAGAATCTATTTAATTATTCCTTATTAACAAGTCATTGTATGATTTGAGAAAGAAGGACAAACTCTCAAGTATTCAAAAGTACTTTGAGAACGATTTTTATGTGGAAATTCTTTTCAGGCCTGGAGTATGAAAATATATTCCCGAGAGACATACTAATAAATACTTCATCATAAAAATTTAAAGAGAACCTCTGTAGAAATTTTGATCTTTGCTTTGGGTAAAGTATCTAATTAAAGTTTAAAACTACGATGAGAAATGTTTAACGTAAGGATTTGACTTGAGGAACCAAGATTGTAAAACGGGTTTGGGCTGGTATCCTCTGAAGTTCTGTCCTTTCTAGAACTCACACTTGGAGAAAGGAGTGACACAGGACAGGGATCTAGTTTTGTTCCAGGCTGCAGGCCAGCATTTCAAGCTACGGGATCATTGTATTTTCTTTTTGTTGAAGCCACAGTTATGTGGGCATCTGTTCAAAGGTCTCTTGGTAAGTGTTCATTCAGTAATATGATGGGAGGGACTCTGGTCATCTCTTTCACAATAACTTGACCTCTGTAATTTTTTAAAGATTATTGAGGAGTGAGTAGCCCAGGGATGAGCAAGGACAAGGTAAGTGGGCCATTCCGTCTGTGCTGTGGAACCAAAGTTCCCAGTGTGGGAAGCAGGAGGCTTCATGACCTCAAGATGTTCAGATTATACAAAGAAGTAGGATTTTTTGAGGGACCTTTGGCATGTTCTGCTGTCCTTCTTAGTTTACCACCCCCCAAAGCAAGCCCTGGGCAGTGACAGCCATGAAAGTGATTTATTAGGAAGCGATCCCAGGAAGCCCACTAAGAATGGGGCAGGAGATCAAGCTAGGGTACAATTTCAAGTCAAATTCCATGGTGAGAAACTGGCTGGATCTTTTAGGGGGGGCCTCTGGGGACAATGTAATCACATCACTCAGTTGTCCCCATCAGGGAGGAGGGAGCTGTGGGATTTATATCCCCAGTGTGGCCAGTCATTGGCCAATGACTGTGGGGCCCTTCTGGTTTTCCCTGCCTTGCAGGCAAAGGAGGGTCTTGCTGCCTAGGGGCAGCTCTCAGGCAAAGAAAAGGTAGCTGCTGACCTTTGGAAGTGAAAATGGTTAAGGGCTCAGGGGAAATGGGTTGGGCAGTGTCATCCTCTGTTGCTTCTCCCACATGGTCCTAGTGGGAGAATTACGGATGGAGACCAATCTCCAGTGTAACAGGTGGCCCTGTGGTCTGATCATCAGCTCTTTGCGTGCTGTACAAGAGTGCGGAGGATGGGTGTGTACCCAGAAAAGTTTGCTGAGAGCACTTTAAACCTAAAGAATCACAGTGGGCCCATTTTCATTTTTGAAAATCACCGATGGTATCTCTCCTCAGACCCAACCGTATTTTATTTACACAAAATACTTGCAGGTAAGGTAAAGCAATTATGACACATGTACAACCCTGGAGATTTTCCCGTCTGTTCAGAGACATTGAAGTATAGCCACAGCCAACTTCCTTCTGAGTCCTTGGGTAGCTTTATAAGAAGTTCACTTTTCTAGGGAAGTGGGGATCTGTGGTTCTTGATCTATCCCAGTATGGCAAAGACTCTGGAGACAGATGCTGGGTTGAAATCCTGGCTCACTGTAACAGTGTTTTGAGGATTAAATGAGTTAATGCATGTATATTTAGAACAATGTCAGGCACCTAGTGACTGTTCAGTAAATAGCTGCCATGATTAGTATTATTATATGAGATACTTTATGTTTTGAAATTAGAGAATAAATGCTGTTACATAATACTTTATTATAACAATGACAAAGGTGATTCTAATCCTAATTTAGAGGGTGGATGACACTAAAATATCTGGATGAGGCTGGATTTGGTAATGTAATTTACAGTTGAATATCTTGCAGAAATGCCATATTGGGTGCCTCATGAAAACGTCTGGATATTTTTCTTGTAACTGTGATCTGGGGACGACAGGTCCTTCACCATAGGAAGTCAGGCTGGTGGCCTCTGGCTGCCATCTTCTTGTTTCTCTCCATGTCATGGGGAAGGGTGGTCAGTCTCTGCTGATGACTGAGGTGCCCTGAGCCAAGATCACATGGGCTCTGAGAGCTGATGTGGCAGCTCTGTGGGCTCAATAGGCTTTTGTCCAAATGGAGGAGTGAATTAAGGATAGAAAAGGCAGAAGATCATGCCTCTGCCTGTCATTTTCTGCACATCCTGACAGCCCAGCATATTACAAGCAATAGCTATTCAGGTGCAAGTGTTACTACTGTAACCACAGCACAAAAATCAGCTGTTAAAAACCCTGAGATTTGCAAATCATTAAAGATAACTGTGAACTCACCGTGGGCTGAGGTGCTTTTAAAATCGCAAATTGGAGCTGTGCTGTAAAGCAACATTAAGAGATTGTGCAGGAGCATCATTTTACCCTGGGACTTTCAGGGTTTCAGAAAGGAGTCATGTTGCTAAACCAGTCATTGACTCCCAGCTGGGCTGGCAAGGAGCTAGCTGGTGAGGTTTCTCTGTTGACAGAGAGACACATGGTAAAGGGGCCTCACCGCTCATTGTTTTCTGATCATGCTTCTCAGTGACTGCTTTTATAGCCAGGTTTTTATTTGTGCTTACCTATGAAGAAATTGCTCAGAGCAAATGTTTATTGCTGTGATAAGCCGAAGGGATGGAGGTGGTCATGCGAGGAAGAGATGGAAGCAGCTTTCCTTGTCCTGGGCTGTTATTTTGCTATAAAAATTTATCCACAGCTGATAATTATAGTTTGATTTCCTGACTTGCTTAGTCAGATTCTGAAGTTTGATCTAGACCACTATGCCCGTTGGCAAATACTATATACTATATACCATATAAAGAATTTTGAGCTGTATGGCATTTCAGAGCCTGGATAATTTGAGGAAAGATATTTTCTCCCTTAAACATAATTATATGGAGATCTAGCTGGAATACGAGCAAAGGAAGGGCATTTAAAAATATTAAAATGGTAAAATGGTTTAAAAATATATTTCAGCATTTTCTTTGTAGTAGATGGGAAATATTTTTATGGCATTATCCATTTTTAGCTTCTAATTCAATGCTGTTTTAGTGTACCATTTCTCATATCTATTATTTAAAAGTTCCATTAGGATTTTGAGACCCATTAGAATTTTATAACAATATGAAATGTGATATCAACAGGGTATCATTTTTCTTTTTTATAATTAAAGATCAATTTTTTTCCTGATTTTAAAGTACCTGATTAAAAATACAGATAGAAAATCAGAAAATACAGTTAAGTAACAAGAAAAAGGACATCAATAATCCCACCATCTATCGATAACTCTTGTTTTCTTGGACTAAAGCTCATCTCATTTGCATGGTTGGCTGTTCCCCTGTTTGGCTGCCCACCATTTGTTCTGACTGGTTGGTGTTTATAATTCCCAATTGTTAACTTTTGAAGATCACCTCTGAAATACTACTGTTTTATAATTTTGAGTATATCTTTCTAGACATTTGAAATAAGTATACATAGATATAATTTGTTTTTAAAAGTCAAAGATATAATTGAGATACTTTACCTATAATAAAAGCACTTATTTTAAGTGTAGAGTTTGGTAAGTTTTAACAAATGTGTATTCTCAAGTACCACTGCCACAATCACCATCCCTCAACAATGCCCTTATGCCCCTTGGCTGTGAATATTCACAGTCCCATCTAGTCTAAGCAACAATAGATCTATTTTTTTCATCGTTATGTCTTTCTTATAGTTTGATACAGCTGGAATCATACACTATCACTCTTTTGTGCCTGGCTTTTTTTACATGTAATATGATGGTTTTTGAGATTTATTCATGTTGTCATGTATATCAGTAGTTCATTCATTTTTATTGCTAAGTAATATTGCATTATAACATAACACGATTGGTCTATTGATTTACCTGTTGGAAATTCAGGTTATTTCCAGTATTTAACTATAATGAACAAAGTTGCTATAAACATTCATGTACAAGTCTTTATGTGGATAAATATAATTTCTCTTGAGTAAATATTGGGGAGTGGAATTTGCTGGGGTAAATGGTAGTGTGCATTTAACTTGATAAGAAACTGCCAACCTGTTTTCCTAACTGATTGGACCATTTTACATTTCTGCTTTGATGAGTGTGAACTCCAAATATCCCAATCCTTGTCAGTATTCAGTGTCATCAGTATTTTTTTAAACCATTCTATTAGATACATAGTGACACCTCATCATGGTTTAAACTTGTTTTTCCTGATGACTAATAATGTTAGGCACTTTTTTTCATGTGCTTTTTCATCATTTCTATGTTGAAGTGTCTTCAAATCTTTTGCCCGTTTTTAAAATCTTCTTATTAGGTTGTAAAAGTTCTTTGTATATTTTGGGTACAAAACACCATCCATCAGACATATCTGTTGCAAATATTTTCGCTTTGTGTGCAGGTATTCTGAAGAGCAGACGTTTTTCATTTTAATAAGGTCTGATTTATCCTTCTTTGCTTAAGTGGTTTGTGCTTTTCTTGTCCAAGAAATTTGTGCCTACTCCAAAGCAGTAATGCTTTTTTTAAACCTGTGTTTTTCTTTAGCAGTTTTAGCTCTATGTTTATATTTATGACCCATGTAGAGTTAACTTTTGTATGGTGTGAGGTTAGAGTAGAGGTTCAGTTTTGTTGCACATGGATAACCAGTTCAGCAACGTTTCCTGGAAAGACTCTCATTTTCCCATTAAATTGCCTTGGCACGTTTGTAGAAAATCAGTTGGTTCTATTTGATAGTTCTATCTATGAATTCTCTATTCTGTTTTGTAGTTCCATATCTATCTATCTTGATAACAGTGGCTTTATAGTACATCTTGAAATTGGATGGTATAAGATCTTCAACTTCTTCCTCTTTAGAATTATTATTCTCGGTCCTTTGCATATCTGTCTGCAGTTTAGAATACACTTCATCAATTTCTACCAAAAAGCCTGCTGGGAGTTTGGTTGGGATTGCATTGAATCTGTAGGTCAATTTGGAGAGGATCACTTTAACAATATCGAGGCTTTCAACCCACAAACATGGTGCATGTCCTAGATTACTTAGATATTTAAAAATATCTCTCAGAAACCTTTTGTAGTTTTCAGTGTGCAGGTATTGTACATATTTTGTTGAATTTATGCCTAAGTATTTTGTATTTTCTGATCTTACTGTAAATGGTATTTTGAATTTTATTTTCTATTTGGTATTCATATATGGAAATATGACTGATTTTTGTATATTCATTTTGTATCTTAGTACATTACTAAATTCATTTGTTTTACAGCTTTTTGTAATTAGGGTTTTCTGTGAACATATCATGGTTTCTACAAATAAAGACAGTTTTTCTTTGTTTCCAGTCAGTATACTTTTTATTATTTGTTTTCTTTATTTGTTCATAATCATAATACTTGCACTGGCCAGGACTTTTAGTACATGTCAAATTGAAGTTGTGAGAGCAACATCTCTGCCTTATTCTTTATGTTTGGGGAATGTTTGAGTCTTTCGTCCTAAAGTATAATGTTAGCTGTAGGATGTAAATAGATACCTTTTATTAAGTTGAGCAAACTCCTTTTTATTTCTTATTTGCTGAATTTTTAATCATGCATGTATATTGAATTTCATCAGTGCTTTTTCTGCATGTATTAAGATAACCATACATTTTTTTCTCTTTTATTTTATTAACATGATGAATTACTTTGGTTTTCAAATATTAAACCCAAACTTTGCTTTCTTTGGGTAAACCTGCTTTGTCATAAAATATTATCATTTTTATATATTGTTAAATTAGATCTTTTAATATTTTGTGAAGCACTTTTACAACTATGTTCATGCTGGTTATTGGTCCTGTAGTTTTCTTATGTCTTTCTTATAATCAAGATTTTGCTGGCCTAATAAGCTGAATTGGAAATGACCCTACTCTACTATTTCCTGAAATACTTTATGTAGAATTGGTAATATTTCTTTCCTAAGAATTTGGTATAATTTTCTAGTGAGGCCATCTGAAATTATGATTTTTCTTATGGAAGTTCTGAAATAGATATTCAGGTTTTCAGTTGCATCTTTTATCACTTTTGATAATTTGTGTATTTCACATTTATTGACATATTTATTTCATATTTATTGTATAATTTATTGATATAACATTTAAAATATTCTCTTACTACCCTTAACATTGCTGGAATCTGAACAAATGTTTCCTATTTCATTCTGGATATGGTCAATTTGCATCTTCTCTCCTTTTTTCTTTATGACAGTCTAGCTAGGAATTTATCAATTACATTTCATCAGTATTTCCAAAGAACCAGCCTTTTGTTTTATTAATTTTTCTTGTCAGTTTTTTATTTCATTGATTTGTGCTCTACTATTTAGTATTTTCTTTCTTGTACTTCCTTTCAGTTTGATTTTCTCTTCTTATAGCTTTTTAAGGTAATTGACATTAGCCCTTTCTTTTTTCATTTTCATTTTTTAAAATAGTCTTTCAAGCTGTGTATTTCCCTCTAAATGCTGTTTTAAAAGCATCCCACACAATTAAATATGTTGTGTTTTCATTTTTCAGTTTAGTTAGCTCCTACTTTCCTTTATGACTATTTCTTTGACATGGGCTGTTTAGAATCAAGTTTTTAAATTTCCGCTTAGGTGCTTTGCCAGATATATTTTTGTTACTTATTTTTAATTTAATTCTGTTATCATCAGAGAACATGTCCTATAATCTTTGAATCATCCCAAAATTATTGAGACTTGTTTGTGGCTCAGAGGTTAGACTGTCTTGGTGTTTGTTCTGTGTGCACTTGAAGAGAAAATATAGTTTGCCTTTATTGGGTGGAGTGCTGTATAAATGCCGTTTAGGTCAAGTTAGTTGCTACTGTGTTTAAATCTAAATGTTTACTGATTTTCTGTCTACTTGTTCTATTGATTACTGACAGTGGAGTGTCAAATTTCCAAACATGACTGTTGCTTTATCTATTTATCCTTTCAGTGTTATCATTTTTTGCTATGTGTTTTCTGAAGCTTTGATGTTAGTGCATAGACAATTAAGATTATGTCTTCTTGATAAATTGAACCTCATTATTATGAAATACCTCTTTATATTACTGTTAATATTGCTTATCTTAAAGTCTACTTTGTCTAAAATTAAGATAGTCACACCAGCTTTATTATTATTTGTGTTTTCATATTATATCTATTCACACTTTTAGTTTTTTAAGCTATTGGTATCTTTGTATTAAAATACATCCATTATAGATAGAATATAGTTGGATATTGCTTTTTTTTAAATTAAAACATTTTTAAATTCAGGTATCATTGATATACAATCTTATAAAGCTTCATATGAGCAACACTGTGGTTATTACATTCACCGATATTATCAAATTCCTCCCTCACACACCACATTGCAGTTACTGTCCATCAGCATAGTAAGATGCTATAGAGTCACTACTTGTCTTCTCTGTGCTGTACTGCCTTCCCCTGACTCCCCTACCTTATATATGCTAATGATAATGTCCCTTAATCTCCTTTTACCTCCCTCCTCACCCCCACCCACCACCCCCTTCCACTTGGTAACTGCTAGTCCCTTCTTGGAGTCTGTGAGTCTGCTACTGTTTTGTTCCTTCAGTTTTGCTTTGTTGTTATACTCCACAAATGAGTGAAATTATTTGGTACTGGTCTTTCTCTGCCTGGCTTATTTCACTGAGCAGAATACCCTCTAGCTCCATCCATGTTGTTGCAAATGGTAGGATTTGTTTTCTTCTTATGGCTGAATAATATTCCATCATGTATATGTACCACATCTTCTTTATCCATTCATCTACTGATGGGCACTTAGGTTGCTTCCATATCTTCACTACTGTAAATAGTGCTCCAATAAAACACATGGGGAGCATGTCTTTTTGAATCTGGCATCATGTTTTCTTCAGGTAAATTCCTAGGAGTGGAATTCCTGGGTCAAATGGTGTTTCTATTTTGAGTTTTTTGAGGAATCTCCATACTGCTTTCCACAATGGTTGAACTAATTTACATTCTCACCAGCGGTGTAGGAGTGTTCCCCTTTCTCCGCAACCTTGCCAGCAATTTGTTGTTGCTTGTCTTTTCTATGTTGGCCATCCTAATTAGTGTGAGGTGATATCTCATTGTGGTTTTAATTTGCATTTCCCTGATAATTAGTGCTGTGGGGCATGTTTTCATGTGCCTGTTGGCCATCTGAATTTCTTCTTTGGAGAAGTGTCTGTTCATATCCTCTACCTATTTTTTAATAGGGTTATTTGCTTTTTGGGTGTTGAGGAGTGTGAGTTCTTTATATATTTTGGATGTTAACCCCTTGTTGAATATGTCGTTTACAAATAAATTCTCCCATACCATAGGATGCCTTTTTGTTCTGCTGGTGGTGTCCTTTGCTGTACAGAAGCTTTTTAACCTGACATAGTCCAATTTGTTCATTTTTGATTTTGTTTCCCTTGCCTGAGGAAATGTGTTCAGGAAAAAGTTGCTCATGTTTATATTCAAGCCTATGTTTTCTGCTATGTTTTCTTCTAAGAGTTTTATGGTTTCATGACTTACATTCAGGCCTTTGATCTATTTTGAGTTTACTTTTGTGTATGGAGTAATCAGTTTCATTCTCTTGCATGTAGCTGTCCAGTTTTGCCAACCGCTTGTTGAAGAGGCTGTCATTTTCCCGTTGTATACCCATGGCTCCTTTATCTTAAATTAATTGATCATATATGCTTGAATTTATATCTGGGCTCTCTATTCTGTTCCATTGATTTATAGATCTGTTCCTGTGCCAGTGCCAAATTGTCTTGATTACTGTGGCTTTGTAGTAGAGCTTGAAGTTGGGAAGCAAGATCCCCCCTGCTTTATTCTTCCTTCTCAGAATTGCTTTGGCTATTCGGGGTCTTTTGTGGTTCGATATGAATTTTAGAACTATTTGTTCTACTTCATTGAAGAATGCTATTGGAATTTTGATAGGATTGCATTGAATCTGTAGATTGCTTTAGGCAGGATAGCCATTTTGACAATATTAATTCTTCCTATCCATGAGCACAGAATGTATTTCCATTTATTGGTGTCTTCTTTAATTTCTCTCATGAGTGTCTTGTTTTCAAGGTATGGGTCTTTCACATCCTTTGTTAGGTTTATTCCTAGGTATTTTATTCTTTTTGATGCAATTGTGAATGGAATTGTTTTCCTGATTTCTCTTTCTTCTAGTTCATCATTAGTACATAGGAATGCATCAGATTTCTATGTATTAATTTTGTGTCCTACAACTTTGCTGAATTCAGTTATTAGTTCCAGTAGTTTGGCGTTGGATTCTTTAGGGTTTTTTATGTACAATATCATGTCATCTGCAAAGGGGCAGTTTAACTTCTTCCTTGCCACTCTGGATGCTTTTTCTTTCTTTGTGTTGTCTGATTGCTGTGGTAGGACCTCCAGTACTATGTTGAATACAAGTGGGGAGAGTGGGCATCCTTGTCTTCTTCCCGATCTTAGAGGAAAAACTTTCAGCTTTTCTCTGTTAAGTATGATATTGGCTGTGGGTTTGCCATATACGGTTTTTATTATGTTGAGGTACTTGCCCTCTATACCCATTTTGTTGAGAGTTTCTATCATGAATGGATTTTGAATTTTGTCAAATGCTTTTTCAGCAACTATTGAGATGATTATGTGATTTTTGTCTTTTTTGTTGATGTGGTGGATGATGTTAATGGATTTTTGAATATTGTATCATCCTTGCATCCCTGGAATAAATCCTACTTGATCATGATGGATGATCTTTTAGATGTATTTTTGAATTCGGTTTGCTAATATTTTGTTGAGTGTTTTTGCATTTATGTTCATTATGGATATTGGTCTGTACTTTTCTTTTTGTGTGGTGTCTTTGCCTGATTTTGGTATTAGAGTGATGCTGGCCTCAGAGAATGAATTTGGAAGTATTCCTTCCTCTTCTACTTTTTGGAAAACTTTAAGGAAGATAGGTATTAGGTCTTCTCTAAATGTCTGATAAAATTCAATGGTGAGGCCATCTGGTCCAGGCGTTTTGTTTTTAGGTAATTTTTTGATTTCCAGTTCAATTTAATTATTGGTAATTGATCTGTTCAGATTTTCTGTTTCTTCCTGGGTCAGTCTTGGAAGGTTGTACT